TTTGTGAAGACAGAACCAAAGTATGTATTCAGTTCCTCAGCCATTTCTTTGTCCCTTATTATACATTCCCTGTTTCTGTCTGTAGAGGACCTACATTTGTCTTTACCAATCTCTTTCTCTTCACGTACCTTTAGAAACTCTTAGTGTCAGTCTTTATGTTCCCTGCAAGCTTACTTTTGTACTTTATTTTCCCCTTCTTACTCAATCCCTTGGTCCTTCTTTGCTGAATTCTAAACTGCTCCCAATCCTCAGATTTATTATTTTTCTTGGGCAATCTGTATGCTTCTTCATTGGATTGAATACTATTTCTTATTTGCTTTGTAAGCCATGGATTGGCCCTCTTACCCATTTTGCTTTTGCAACAGACAGGAATAAATAGTGTTGCGGTTCCCCCATGCATTCCTTGAATGTTTGCCATTGCCTATACACTGTCATCCCTTTAAGTAACTCTCCCCAATCTATCAAGGCCAACTCACGCCTCATATCCTTGTAGTTTCCTTTACTAAGGTTCAGCACCCTAGTCTCTGAATCAACAACCACACTCTCCATCTTGATAAAAAAATTCTATCGTATTATTGTCGCTCTTCCCAACGGGTCTTGCACAACTAGTTTGGCAATGATTCCCTTCTCATTACACAGAACCCATTGTTAGCTATTAATTGTCCCTATTAGTGGCTTTTCATTCTTCCAAGCTGAACATTATCCATCCCTCTCTCTGTCCAACTGTTCTTCTCTCTCTTTGGCTCTGCCTCCACCCATTGTTTACTCCTTTCCCCTTCCCCCACACCCTATCTTCTGCATAAAAACTAACTTTTTCCTGGCTACCATCAGTTCTGAGGAAGGGTCACTTGACCCAAAACGTTAATTCTGATTTCTCTCCACAAATGCGGCCGACTGAGCTTTTTCAGCAATTTCTGTTTTTGATGGATTTTCAGCATCTGCAGTTCTTTTGGTTTTTACTTAGAATTTTCACATTTGGCCTTTCCCTGTCCATGAAACCTCTTCCAGCCTCACACTCCCTGATTTTAATTCACTCAATGCTTTTAGTTTCTAAGTCTATAATCTCTGGAATTTTCTTACCTATCTTCTCTGCCTCTTTCTTCCAGCTTTATGTCACATTGTAAATCAATCTCTGACCAAGCTTTGGTCATTTGTTTTAATATATACTTATGTTACTTGTTGTGAAATCTCGTTTGATAATGTCTCCGTGAAATGACTTCAGGTGTTTTACTACTTTAAAGAGGCTACAGAAATGCAGCTGTTTTAACTCAACTGGTGCAAGCTGATCTTCTTGGAACATCACACAGTCAGCTGTGATTTTGTAGCTGGCCTCATGAATGAAGTGACCAGCCTCTGGTTTGTCTGATAACCTTTCCTTCTAAACTCCAAAATAAGAGGAAAGAAATCCCCAGAGAAATTTGACCTAGGCAATTTTAGTTGCTGAAACTAAGATTCAAAAAGTCAGAAATACAAATTATTGATATCAAATAAAACACTAGATGTGCAATACCAAATCTGCAAAAATTGAGGTAAAATGCAAAAAAAATTGTTCCCAAAATCAGAACTCCAATAACCTAAACTTCAACAACAAATGCCATCCTTGGGAGTACACATTCTAAAATTGAATAATATGATTTTCAGCAGCACCATTATAAAACAGCATTGAAATACAGTATTATGATTGATTTTCCTTAGGTGCTGCCTGGAAGCAGAGCACAGCACAACTGAAATGCATTTGTGGGTTCAGCTTAGTTCATTAGGTCCAGCCCTCTTACAAAGTTACAATAATAATCATATCGAAATGAATTATAATCATATGATTTTAAATGTACAATCGTAGCATAATGAAGTAATCAAAAAGATGAGAGCAGAGCAGTAGATGTTGTTTACTTGGACTTTGATAAAGCCTTTGACAAGGTTCTACATGGTAATCTAATTAGCAAATTAGCAAAAACAGGTACATCCAAAAGGTCCTAAAACAGTTCTCTACAATTGTTGCAGAGAAAAAAACACATTGGAATCTGTCATTGCTCAGAGTATCCCTGCATCGCAAAACAAAGGCATTTACTGCTCGTGCAGGAATCTATTTACATTCATTCTGAGGCAACAATGGGGTCTGACAACTGAACAGACCCTTGTTATATTTTGGCAGAAAGATCTTAGATGGTGGTCTTTCCCCACTGTGCCTTCACGTCTGCCCAAACTTTAGTGCTTCCCTCAGCATGTATCCCTGGACCTTAGAATGTGACAGTCTGAAACACTCAGTGGAAGTCAACTCTTTACACTGGAAGACTAACAAGTTGAGTTATCTCATAAACACACAGATTCTATTGAAAGCTGTCTAAATTGCTTGGAAGGAAATCTCAATGTGAGCCTGACAAGAGGAGGATCTAGGTTTAACAGAGGCTGACCGCTTTGGATGATTTTATGGCTACAGAATAATAATTTATTTCAGCATTTTAATGTTTGATGTTCTTCAGGTATTTATTTATTGATTAGAATAATAAAGCAGCATTTTTTAATAAATTATTTTCTTTCCTCAATCTGTTATATGTGTAATCATTTTTTTCTGAAATGATTCTAAACTTGTGCCCATTTTAAATCAGAAAAATGGATACAAACAATTAACCCATTAAGCATAGCAATTTTTTGAGCGAGCCATTAATTTGTTCTCTTAAATTCACAGGCCAAAATGAACTATAAGACTGAGAGTGGCTTAAAACCAAAATGCTTTCAGATCACTTAAATCTTTCCTTTCTCTCATTAAAAGAAAGTGTGGAAAACTAGGGAGTGAACTGGAACTGCATTAAGGTCAAAAGGATAACTAGGGAGAGAATAGGGCCACTTACAGTTCAGCAAGGCCGCTTATGTGTGGAACCATAGGCGATGGGGGAGACACAAAATAGTATTTTGCATCAATGTTTACTGTGGTTAAGGATATGGAAGCTAGAGAACTTGGGAAATAAATAGCGACACCTTGAAAAATGTCCATATTACAGAGGAGGAGGTGCTGGCTGTCTTAAAATGCATAAAGGTGGATAAATCCCCTGCACCTGTTCAGGTGTACCCTAGAATCTTGTGGGAAGCTAGGTAAGTGATTGCTGGGTCCCTTGCTGAGATATTTGTTCATTGATAGCCATAGGCGAGGCACTGGAAGACTGGAGGTTGGCCAACATGGTGCCACTATTTAAGATACGTGGTAAGGAAAAGCCAGGGAACTATAGACCGGTGATTCTGACAAGGGTGGCGGGGAAGTTGTCGTAAGGAATCCTGAGGGACAGGATTTACACGTATTTGGAAAGGCAAGGACTGAATAGAGTCAGTCAGCATGGCTTTGTGAGCGGAAAATCATGTTTCACTAACTTAATTGAGTAATTTGAAGAAATAACGAAGACGATTGATGAAGGCAGAGCTGTGGACATGATCTATATGGACTTCAGTGAGGCGTTCGACAAGGTTCTGCACGGTAGACTGGTTAGCAAGGTTAGATCACATAGAATATAGAAGAAGTGACCATTTGGATACAGAACTGGCTTGAAGATAGGAGACAGAGGGTGGCGGTGTAGGGTTACTTTTCAGAATCGAGGCCTGTGACCAGCAGTGTGCCACAAGGATCGCTGCTACAGAGGTTTATAAAATCATGAGTGGCATGAATAGGGTGAATAGACAAGGTCCTTTCCCCACAGTAGCAAAGTCCAAAACTAGCGGGCATAGATTTAAGGTGAGAGAGGAAAGATATAAAAGGGACCTAAGGGCCAACTTTATCACGCAGTGGGTGGTGCGTGTATGGAATGAGCTGCCAGAGGAAATGGTGGAGGCTAGTACAATTACAACATTTGAAAGGCAACTGGATGGGTATATGAATAGGAAGGGTTTAGAGCGGTATGGGCCAAATACTGGCAAATGGGACTAGATCAATTTAGGATATCTGGTCGGCTTGGATGAGTTGGACGAGTTGAACCAAAGGGTCTGTTTCCATGCTGTAGAGCTCTAAGACTTTACGACTCTATGGTCCTCCACTGGTCCCACAGTTGAAAGAAGCAGAGGAGGAAGTGCTGGGAACATTAGCATTTCAGTTTTTTTTAATCCATTGGAAATGGAGATGTCTCAGCACACAAGGTGATTGCAATTTCTTCTTTCTTTTCCTTGTCAACTGGCAAATGATGAATTCAGTAATCAAATAGAGCCAATAGAAAGAGCCAAGGGTGTTGTATATAGTGGTAGTACTGGGGGCAATTGATGAAGTCCTGCAGGCGAGGCAATTTCCATTTTGTTACATTGCAGCAAAAGGAGAAAAAGGTTTTAAAAGAACAAAGAACAAAGAAAATTACAGCACAGGAACATGTCCTTCGGCCCTCCAAGCCTGCGCCGATCCAGATCCTCTATCTAAACCTGTCGCCTGTTTTCCAAGGATCTGTATCCCTCTGCTCCCTGCCCATTCATGTATCTGTCTAGATACACCTTAAATGTATCGTGCCTGCCCGTACCACCTCCGTTGGCAACACGTTCCAGTCACCCACCACCCTCTGCGTAAAGAACTTTCCACGCATATCTCCCTTAAACTTTTCCCCTCTCACCTTGAAATCGTGACCCCTAGTAATTGAGTCCCCCACTCTGGGAAAAAGCTTCTTGCTATCCACCCTGTCTACACCTCTCATGATTTTGTAGACCTCAATCAGGTCCCCCCTCAACCTCCGTCTTTCTAATGTAAATAATCCTAATCTACTCAACCTCTCTTCACAGGTAGTGCCCTCCATACCAGGCAACATCCTGGTGAACCTCCTCTGCACCCTCTCCAAAGCATCCACATCCTTTTGGTAACGTGGTGACCAGAACTGTACGCAGTATTCCAAATTCAGTGAAGCTGTTGAAAACTCAGCCATTTGGTACAGTTCAATTAGGTGTCAGCAATGAGTGAGCTGGGGAAAAGAGGAAGCAAGTGAGCAAGCATTCGATTGCAACATTAAGCATTAAGAAAGAGAATTGCACATCTTCTTTTCAACCGTCCAATTTACAACAAGAAATAACTCATCAGGCAGGAAAACTGAGCTGGGAACAAGGATTCTCTTTTCTCTCCATAAAGAAGTAACACCGCCTCAGTTTAATAGTTAATAGTTCCTGTTGTGAACTTGAGAAAATATGGTGAAAAATCCAAAACCATAGCCTAAAATCAATGGTGAGTAAAAGTTCATTTTTAAATAGTAGAGAAAAAAGTAAGATACTTGACACAGAAGAGGCATTGGGGAGAGGAGTACAGTTGTTTATCAAAGTATCGTTTTAAAAGTATTGGAAATCAATATGGTGATATTGCGTTACTGAAATTAATCAATCTATCAATCTATCCCAAATTTGTAAGAAAAAGTTGAGGTGAGGGCTAGCTTTTACAGAGACCCTGAACGTGGTAAAAAATAGTAAAGTACGGCAGATGCTGGATATTTATAACACAAATGAACTTTTGGAGAAACTCAGCAGGTTTAGCAGCATTTGTGGGGAGAGGAACACAGTTAAAATTTTGATTCCAATATGACTACTACACCTCATTTTCCGCCTGGGGACCCTGCAGCCCTCTGGGCTCAATATACAGCTTCTAAGGTTTTACAGTAGATTTGTAGCTTGGGTTGTGGATGTTGTGGTTGTTTGGCTCGCTGAGTTGGTTCGTTGTTCAGCAGACGTTTCATTACCCTGCTGGGTAACATCATCAGTGCAGCCTCCAATGAAGTGCTGTTTTCACGCCTGTCTTTTAAACTCTCGTGTCCGTTGAGCTGGATTACCTCACTTCCAGTTTCCCCACGCAATGGAGTGTATATGGGGTCTCACTCTATGTGTTTATTGATGGCTTTCTTAGAGGAGAACCAGGCTTCGAGGAATTCCTGTGCTTGTCTCTGCTTCGCTTGTCCCAGGATCCTGGTGTTGTCCCAATCGAATTGGTGATTTTCCTTATCCATGTGGATGGAGATGAGTGAGTATTAGTCGTGTCTTTTTGTTGCCAGTTGATGTTCGTGTACCCTTGTGTACCCTTAATTTCCTTCCTGTTTGTCCAATGTAATATTTGCCGCAGTCTCTGCAGGGAATCTTGTTTATGACACTGGTCCTGTCCATAGTGGGTAGTGGGTCTTTGGTCCGGGTGAGCAGTTGGGGTAGGGTTGATGTGGGTTTGTGTGCTACTCTGATGCCCAGTGGTCGTAGGAGCCTTCTGGTCAGTTCAGAGGTGTTCCTGATGTAAGGTAGCATGATGAGTGTTTCGGGGTGCGTAGTATCTTCTTGGTGTCGTTCATGTAATAGGCAGCTTCTGACCCAGTTTTTCGGGTATCCATTGTCTTTGAATACTTGGAAGAGGTACTCTCCTTCTTTTTGGCGTAGCTCTGTGTTGCTGCATTGTGTTGTTGCCCGTTTAAATAATGTTCTCACGCAACTTCGTTTGTGTGTATTAGGATGGTTGCTGTTGAAATTTTGTACTTGGTCTCTGTGTGTGGCTTTCCTGTGTACATTTGTTAGGAATTTCCCATTGGTCCTGCATTCCACCATGATGTCCAGGAATGGGAGCTGTTTGTTCTTCTCCTCTTCTCTGGTGAATCTGATCCTGGTGAGGCTGTTGTTTATTAGTTCATGTGTATCCTCTAGTTTGGTCTGTTTAATAATGACGAAGGTGTTGTCCACATAACGTATCCATAGTTTTAGCTGAATTAGCGGAATTAGAGACTTTCAAGTCTCTGCATCACCGTTTCAGCTATTAGTCCGGAGATAGGTGATCCCATGGGTGTCCCATTGATCTGTTCATATATTTAGCCATTAAAAGGTGAAGTGGGTGGTGAGGCATAGGTCCAGTAGCTTCAGCATGTTGTCTGTGGAGATGTTGTCATTAGGGTTTTGTTCTTGTTTTAGTAGTGTTGCCAGTGTTTCTTTTGCTAGTGGTATGTCTATCAATGTTAAAAGGGTAATAACGTCAAATGATACCATGATCTCGTCATCATCTATTCTTATGTCCTTGATGGAACTGAGGAATTCCTGGGCTGAGTGGATTGAGTGGGGTGACTTGTTGAAGAGGTGCTTTAGTCTCCTTTGTAGCTCCTAGGCTAATCTATGTGATGGCGTGCCTGGCAGGGAGACTATGGGTTTGAGAGGTATTTCTGGTTTGTGTACCTTCAGGAGGCCGTAGAATAGTTGGGGGATGTTTGTTGCAGTCTTTGCAGGGAATCTTGTATTTGACACTGGTCCTGTCCATAGTGGGTAGTGGGTCTAAGAGCCTGAACTCTCCCATGTCCTAGCCCCCTACCCACACACTAGGCCTTGTTATCACATAGTCTGCCATTACACACTATGCATTGTTAGCCACTAACAGTCTCCATTAAAAGATATTTATGCTCCTAGTCAGATGGTCATCAACTCCTTTGTCTGTCCAACTGCTCTTCTCTCTCTTTGGGCTCTATCCCCACCTATTGTTCACTCCTTATCCCCTTCCCCTACTCTATCTTCTGCATATAAACTGACATTTTCCTAGCTGCCATCAGTTTTGGGGGAAGGGTCACCAGACCCAAAACGATAACTCTGATTTCTCTTCACAGATGCTGCCAGACCTGCTGAACTTTTCCAGCAACTTCTGTTTTTGCTTCTGACCTACAGCATCCCTTTTGGTTTTTAATCACAAACCCAGTTCTGTTTTGGGCTTGGGTAGGTCTGGTCACCGGAGTCACTTCAACGCTTCCTTGTGATATCGACATTCTCACCCGAAACAAAAACAGAAATTGCTGGAGAGACTCAGCAGGTCTGGATGCCAGAATTCGTGCAGGACTTTCGAAGAAGGTTCACTGGGGCAGAAACGTCGACTCTGTTTTTCTCTCTCCAGAAACGCTGCCAGACCTGCGGAGTTTCTCCAACAATGTCCGTTCTTGTTTCAGAGATTGTAAGAACTGCAGATGCTGGAGTCAGAGATAACACAGTATGGATCCAAGAGAAGGGTCCCAACCCGAAAACAAGAGACAACAAGGTGCAGAGCTGGATGAACACAGCAGGCCAAGCAGC